AACTTTGGAAAAATTATTTGATTGAAATAAATTTTTAATAATAAAAATTAAATTATAATAAAAAAATCTTAAATTAATTTTTCAATTAAGGAGCAAAAATAAAATAAATAAATTTGTTGTTTCAGTAATAATCACAAATTAAAATATTTTAATTGTTAATAAATTCTTTTATTAATATAAAATTAATTTTTTAGTGTAAAATAAATTAATAATGTAAAATAAATTAAATTAACCTATTTTAAGGCCTAAACATTTTGGATTGAAATGACAATTTGTCGGCATTATAAAATTGTTTTTATTTAATTGAAATTTAAAAATAAAGTTAATTTTTTAATTTTTTATTCTCATTTAGGATTGAAAAGAACTTTGGAAATTGAAAAGAAACAGTTGAAAGCCAATCTCATTTATGGATTTCGAACTTCTAAATTAATTTTAAATTGTTTATTTATGTTATTGAAAGATTATTATAAAGCCGATTTTACTAAATTTTATTATTTTATTTTTTTAAATGCAAAAAAAAACAATTTGCGGATATTTTCTTTTTAAAAGGAAACGTGCAATTATAATATGTATATAAATAATATATATATATTTCTTTAGAAAATGTTTATCTCTTTTGATTTGTGTTGGCATTATTTTACTAAAATGAAGACAAAAAATAAGCTTTTTTGTCAAAAATTAAATAGTAATAGATAAAAAGTTTTTTTTGTTTTTTCTATTTTACTGTCAACAAAAGTGTTCGGTAATCAGTTGAAATTGGACATTACCTACGGAAAGGATCTCTAGTAAAACTACCCTTGACGAGACTACACGGCGCCGATTTTAGTACATTATGAATTGAAAGAAACCGTTGGAAGTCAATCTCATTTCGGGATTCCGAACTTCTACAAATTCATCTATTTATTTATATATTTCCTCCTCTTCTACTTTTCTTCTTTAAAAATATTTTCAATTTTTTTTTGTTTTGTCTCGTTCTTTTTTTGAACAACAAAAAGCAACTCCCTTCGGGACCTTTGACTTTCCCCACATTTTTGTCATTTTATAAAGCTTATTTTTTACTTAAAGTTAAATTTTTTATTTTATAAATTGTAGATTCTGTTTTTTTTATTTATTTTTATATTTAGAAAAATTGAAATTTTGGTCAAAATTTTGTCAATAAAATTATTGACTAAAAATTCTTTTTTTTGTTCCTTTTTTTTGAATTAAATTAATAATTTTATGTTTCAAGTGTTTAAGCATGCTTTTTTTAAATATTAAAGTACCCAGACATATGTATATATGTAATTCACTATTTGTAAATAATTTTTTGAAAATATTTTTATTTTTTCTCTTAAAAATTTATTTTATTGTCCCATCTGTAAATTAATTAAATTTACCTAATTCTTTTACAAATATTTTGTTTTATTTTTCCTTATTTTCCTTTCTCAAAAAAAATAATTTTAACAAAAATAAATTTAATTTCCAAAATATATTAATTCTCCAGGGGCCTATTTCAATTGTCCACAGATTCTGCATTCTGTGCACAGAACACAGATTCTGTGGAAATTCTGTTTCAATTAAATTCTGTGTGCACAGAATCTGTGGTGCCCGCAGATTCTGCGGAAACATCCAATGATTCTGTGGAAACATTCCGCAGATTCTGTGGATGAAAATTTCTGTGGAAAATATAAAAATCTGTGGATTTTTTCCACTGATCCACAGAATTTGTATTTCAATTATTTTTCTGTGGTTCTGTGTATTTTTTCTTCTAAATTCAAATTTTTTATTTCCGCGTTTTTGAAAATAACAGTTTTATTGAAACGAAAAATGGTTTGGACAGTTCGGTACTACCGCAGTATTAATGGTACCTGATTTTTTGAAGTAAAACTTTAAAAATTCTTAAATTAAACTGAAAAATATTGTAAAGATTTAAAAATTTTCCCTCCAAATCACATAACATCCCTTTAAATCTCTTTGATATCACTTTAAAACCGCTGATATACCGCTTAATTTTCTTGTTCATCCAATATCCTTAAATCTCCAATTAAATTAATGTCCTAAAGCAGGGTTCGGATCGGAAAAATCAGGAGATGTCGATCCGACATGTGGCTTTTTCAAACTACGATAGAAGTTGTTGCAAGGGAGGGAAATGTTTGGGGATTGTTTAGTCAGAAATTGAGGTTCCTGGAAATCGAAAATGCCTGGAATCCAAAATTATAGTCAAATCGGAACTTTAAAATCGTAGAGGAGTGATTAAGTGGGATATCCATTGATTTTGAGGTTTAATATATTGGAGTGATTAAGGAGGAAATCTATCATTAAATAGGAGGAGAGATTATGACGGATATCAATGAGAGATCATGGGAGATATCCCAGTATACGCTATACAGATATATTCTATAGATCCTGGTAAACATCCCCTCATTAGAGATATCCATGATGATTAGAACATCATAGCTCTAAATTTCAGAATCTCTCACGTTTTTTATTTTTTTATTGCTTGAATATAACAAAAACTGCGTAAAAAAGATGTACCTTTTTCAAAATTAATTTTAAGCAATAATTTTAGGTAATAAAATTATAATTTTTATATCAAAAAATAGAGAATGATTCAAACTTTAATAATCTTTAAAAATTTTGAAATTTGGTTAAGCCTAGGCCTAGAAAAAAATTGTTAAAGTTTTTCCACAGAAAGTTCGCAGAAAAAATTTTAGGGTGGATTTTTTAAAGAATTCTGTGTATTTTCCGCAGACCACAGAAATAATTGAAACAGAAATGCACAGAATCGACTAAAAAAGCCACAGATCTGTGGATTTTTTTCTGTGCACAGAAAAATAATTGAAATAGAATTCTGTGGTTTTTGCATGTTTTTGGATGTTTTGCAGAATCTGTGGATGTTTCCACAGATTCTGTGCATGTTTCCACAGAATCTGCGGACTTCTTTTTCCGCAGAATCTGTGGAATAATTGAAACAGAATTTCTGTGGTTCTGTGGTCTGTGCACAGAACGCAGACCGCAGAATCTGTGGACAATTGAAATAGGGCCCAGATGGGTTCTTCGGCAGCAGCTCATGTAGCCTTAAATAATTACAATCAGTTATTACGTAAAGTAACAACTTCTGTCCCCCCTCCCCCACCTCTACTTTTCCCTTTAAATAATTCAGAAGAATTATTATTTTCTCTTACAAAACCAAATAAACAATTTATTAATTTACAAAAGAAATCAACAATTATGGAACCACAACAAAGAAATAATAAATTTCAACCTGCTGGTGAGGAAATTTTATTTGAAAATTAAAATAAATTAAAGATTTTAATAACAAAATAAAATCAAAATAATCAAATAAAAAATTCAAAATAAAAAATTGTTGTTGTTTTTGATGGTGATAAAGAAAAAAGAATATTTTTTAATAAGATTGATTTTATTAAAAAAATCTCCATTATTGGAGGGGGGAGGGAGTGGTACATATTTTAGCACTCCTAACTAAATAAGTTAACAAGCATCATGGAACTTTAAAAAATATTTTCAAAGCCAATTGTTATTATTTATTATTCTCATATTTATAAACATTTCCAGACTTGTTCTCTTTTAAAAACATTTGCTTTTAAGTATTTATAATAAATCAGCTGCTAAACTCTTTTTTAAATACTTTTAATCACTTTTATTTTTTATTTTCTTTTATTCCTTAAATATTTTTTAGACTAATTTCCTTTAATTTTAACCTTTAATATTCAAAAAAAGTTTTTCTAAAAATGGGTTCCTCTGGTGCCGCTGCATTTACTCGTCGCCTTACTGAGGCTTCAATTGATAGAAGTAGTGGAGGCTTCTTTGCCGCCAGACATTCCTCCATTGTGCCACCTCCATTACCCCGTTCGAGTATGTGCTCGAGGCCTTCTTTTGGTAAATTTATTTTGTTTAATAAATTAATTTGAAATATGTAATTAAAGTTATTTTATTAAATTATTAAATAAATAAATATTGACAGTCAATAAAGACAAAGTTTTGACCAATATAAATTAAATATTTTATAGGATATAATTTTGTTCTGTATTAATTTCTTAAACATTTTAGTTTCGAAATAAAATCCTTCATTTTCTCTCATTTTAAAGCTTTTTTCCTCTAAAATTATCCTTATCTGATTTAATTTAAAAAACATTTATTTTATTTTTTAAAATATAATTTAACACAAAAAATAAAGTTTTTAATTTAAAATAAATTAAAATTGTTAATTGAAAGAATTTCCCACAATTAATGAAAAAGATTTTAAAAAAGTAAAAGAAAAAAATACATTTTCTTGAAATTCTAGCGGAACGGCACAAATGTTTCTTTTATTTACATTATTTATTTTAGGAGAAAATGTGTGTTTAAATTTAGAAATAAATTGAGGGGAATTGTCAGATGGTAATAGTTAATATATTTTAAGATATACAAGTTGAGGTTTAATATTTAGTTGAGTAAAGTTTGTATGATTTTTATGTCATTTTTCTTTAAAAAAATAATTCTTTAAAAAATCAAAATTAATTTTATTTTTATAATTTTAATATTTAACAAAAAGAAGTTTAAGTTTATAAATATATTTTAAATACTTTATGACTGAAAATTATTTTGTTTAATTTTTTAAGACATCCCCCCCACCCCCCCCCCCACCCTCCACATTAAAAATGTTACGAAATTGAAATATCATTCGAAAGAGCTCGTCGTGCTGAGTCGAATGATAACAAATTTTAAAAATTCTTTATATGTTTTTTTCAATTTATTTAAATAATTTTTTTTATTTTGTTAGAAATATCGTTGGGTCCACATCGTGGTGTTAAATGGGATGATGATGAATTATTAAGACGAAGATACGGTGACGATTTTGATGAAATGAGTGGTCCATTGACTGATCAAGTAATTAATTGTTAATTTTTATATTTTTATTTTATTTTTTCAGTTGTCTTCAGACAGAGAAACTTTTTTACAAAAAATATTAAAAGTATTTTTTAAATTTAATAAATTAATTAAAAATATTTTTTTAAAAAGTATTTAAAAATTCTATTGCCCCATGTTGGTTTAAATATTCTTTTATTTACTTATATTTCTCTTGGGGCTATTGTTTTTATATTTTTGGAAGCTGAAAATGAATTAGAACAAAGAAGAAATAAATTGGCACAAATACTTCAAATTTGTAAAAAAATTTTGGAAATTAAAAAATAATTCTTTTTAAAAAAGATAATTTAATAATTAACGAAACTTCCTCTGTTTGCCATTCGGCAGGCGCTCATTCATTAAATTTAAATACTGTTGAAAGACGTATGCGCCCATTACTTTCAGTACTTTCACGTACACATGAATATGATGAAAGATTTACTCCAGAGGCACAAATGTGGACAGATTCTGAGAAAAGTTTAAACACAAAAGTGAACACAAAAAAATATTAATTTAAATTTAAATATTTTTTTAGTGGACTTTTGCTGCTTCTAGTTTGTATGCATTAACTGTTATTACATCTACAGGTGCTTAACATAAAAAATATTTTTTAATTATTTTTAATTAAAAAGGATATGATCATTTAACCCCTTTAACTGATGCTGGAAGAATATTTACTGGTACTAAAAACTTTAAAAATAATTTTAAATAATTATTTAAAGTTTTGTATGGACTATTAGGAATTCCTTTAATGTTTATTACAGCCGCGGATATTGGGAAATTTCTTTCAGATTTAGTTATCAAAACTTATGGAAAAATATTAGCATTATTTACTTGGTTAGCTTCCATTGCAGACACAATAAGGGATTTTATTGTTCAGCCAGATGATGAATCTATTGAATCTAGGTAAGGGAAGTAATTTGAAAAAGAAATAATTTTTAAAAAAGAAAATGGAGAGAACATCGAAAACAACGTCGACGTCGTTTAAATAATGGTGAAGATGATGAAGACGAAGAAGATGATGAAGAAAGAGAACGGCTACAATTACCTATATTTAGTTATTTTGCTTTAGTTGTTGGTTATTGTGCTATTGGAAGTGCTTTATTTAATGCTTGGGAAAGAGGGGCTGTTTGGTAAATTAAAATAAATTAAAATTAAATTAAAAAATATTTATTTAATTAAAGGTCATTTATTCACGGACTTTTTTTCTCTTTTAATACAATAACAACAATTGGTTTAGGGAATATTTGTGTAACAAGTAGAATATATTTAATTGTAAGTTTTTGTTTATTTTTATTTTAAATTAAATTGTAAATTAAGTTGGTTATTCTTTATGTTATTATTGGATTAGCTGTAATTACTGGTAATTTAATTTAAAAATATACTTTAAATTAATTCAAAAATAGCATCACTCGATTTATGTTCATCAACATTAAAGAAAACATTTACTAAACTTCATTACTTTGGCAGAAAAATTCGTGAAATACATGGAATACATGGATTGAGGTAATTTAATAAAAATAGAAATTAAATAAAAATATTTATTTAATTTTAGTAGAGATATGAGAGAAGCTATGAAAATAATTTCTGCAATGAAAAAGATTAGGTAAATTATATTAATTAATTTAAATACTATGTAATTTGTTTTAAAGAGGAAGTAAAGAAAGAATTACTTTAGAAGATTTAAAACGTTTTTTGGAAGTACAAGAACAATTATTAAGGTAAGTAAATTAATTAATTAAATTTTAATTATACATATATAATATATTTTTAATTTAAAGACAGCCATATGTTCCTTATAATGTACATATTTTTAAATGGATTGAAGATGCTGTAATTTTAAAATTAATTTTTAAAATTAATAAAAAAATATAAATTATTTTTCAGTATTTTCAATACTTTTCTAATGAGGACTCAACTTCTTTACCAAGCAGAAATTCAATTCGAAAAACATCACCGGGAGGGCAAGACAATACCCAACTTCAATTACCTCCACCACCACCCCCACCTCTTCCAACAAATATTCAACAATATTACAAAACGGGAATTAATAATAATAATTTTAATCCAAAATTTCTTTGAAAAGAACATATCCTTTTTCAATCAAATTATTTTTTTGTTTCTTTCAAATAATTGTTTCCCAAATTTATTATACATTTTGCTTTTTAAAAACACTATTATTTTGCTCAATAAATTTTTTTAAACACATTTATTTAAAAATATTCTTAATATACTTAAATATCATCTGGACCCCTATAGCTATTAATTTGAAGTATATTTAGATTATTCTCCCTAATTTTTATCAAGTTTATCATTCCCAATTAAATTTTAAAAATTAAAACAATATTTTAAAAACTTTACACAAACTTTTTAACAAAGAACAATAACAACAACAACATTTCATTAACAATCAAAACTTTCCAAATTAAACAACAATTATTTAAAATAACAAAAATCTTTTTAAATCTCCATTTCTTGTTGTTCTTCAGTATTACTTTCAAAAATTATATTATTATTATTATAATTATTAAATTCATTAACAGATTGTAAACACATTAATTCCTCTTCATACCCCTCATCTATCGGCAAAATATTTTCTCTTTCATTTTCTTCAATACAATTATTTTGTTGTTGTTGTTCAACTTCTTCATCAATATCTTCTTCATCCTCATCAATTATAACATTTTTACAAAGTTTCTCCAAAGGGGTAAAACGCCTCATTAATGGAAATATTAATGGAGAACATCTTTTTTTAATTAAAAAAATTATTTTAAAAAAATCTAAAAAATTTTTACATTTTTAATGAACAAAAACTAAAAGGAAAAAACAAATCAATAACAGCCCTTCTACGTTTTAATGATATTTCTGCCATTGAATGAGTTTTGGGTGATAATGAATTATCTGTGTTTTTCTCAAATAAATTAAAACGTCTAAAAAGTAAAATTAAATTTTCAAAAAATCCAAATAATTAACCTAGCCAAATTCAAAAAACACAAAGCAACACCTTGAGAAATATGTTGTAATGGATTTAATGAATTAAAAACAATTTTGTCTAAATTCCATAAATTAAATTGGTTTAAACCTAAAAAGGAAATATTTTTTAAATTTGTTTATTTAAATTTAACTATTTTCTTCTTTATTTAATTCTTCATAACGATAACAAAAAACAAATAAAAGTGCTTGTACTGTTGAATAAAAAATTCCATGTTGAACCATTTTTGTGTTAACAGCAATGTTTCTTTTAGAAATTTCTTTTGAATTTTCCAAAATATAATTAAAACACCAATTAGATATTGTGTTTATCCAGGAACAAACAAATCTATAAAAAAAATTTTAAATTATGTAAAACATTGTGGTTCCTTGTGGTTTTTATCAAAAAGTCTCAGGTATTTAATTAAATTTATTTCTTTTTTGGAACAAATTTTTGCTTAAATTTAGAATTAAAATTAAATTAATTTTTACTCCAAATCAATATAATTTGCTCGTGCTAAAAATCCACACAAAAAAGTAGCTGCATTTTGTGATTTTCTCCAATCCCCACGTTCAATTGGTGTACGAATTACTTCCCACAAAAATTCTAACATTTTTTGACAATTCTCCTTTAAAATAAAAATTAAGAAAAATATTTTTCTAAAAATATTTTCTCAGACATTAGAAAGACTGCAAAGGTAAAACCAAACAAAAGGTGTTGAATGTACTCCAGTTGCTGTTAAAACGTGTTCATCAAATCCTTCAAGAAATAATTGGAAAATTGTGCAAAAAGGCTTTTTCTTTCTTTTATTATTATTTTGATTATTAATTTCCTCCTCTTCATTTTTCGAAATCAAAAATCTTAATAATCCTTCAAAATTTTTATCTAAAATAAATTTTATAAATTCTTTTAAAATATTTGTGTACCTGTTTCTTTATTAATTATTTGTTGAATAACTTCCTCAGCTAATTTTTCCCCCTTTGTACCAACAAATAAAAGAATAAGCGCAACAAATTGATCAAGTTTTGCTTCCATTGGATTTTCTATTGGTTGTTTTTCTTCAACTATTGATTCTATTATAATATTCGAGTCATTTGCCGGACTTGGAAAACAATTCTAAAAAACAAATATATTTATAATTATCATGATGAAGTGACGTTTGACATACCAGAAAAGTAAATGAATAGACTAGAGTTAGGAACGAGATCCGGCTTTTCCCTCATCATTTCCCGGTTTTTGGAGATGCCGGAATGAAAGCGAGAACAGGGATTCCCAGTTCTGGCCGGTCGATTTTCAGTACTCGTTTCTGATCCAGAGTTTTTTGGACCGGGTAACTGGGAAAAATTTTAGCAACTAGAAAGTGAAGGCTCCCATCCTAGATAGAAGCACAATGCAAAATACCCCCAAAAAACCCCTTTATATTCATTAATAAAATAAATTGCCTTACATTTAAAGAATCATTGGTATTATTGCAAAAACTTAATCGGCTTTCCTCATCATGTAAATCAGTTATCGCCGCCTAAAATTAAATTTAAAATTAATTAGAAAAATTTTTTTATAAACAAACATCTAATTGTAATAATCTATCAATAATTAATGACCAAATTTCGATTCTTGTATCTTCATCATTACTTTGCTCTGCTAGTTTAATTAAATTACATACAAATGGAAGCATTTTATCTGCTGGTTGTCTTACGTGAGGGAATAAACGAACACAATATTTTACAAGTACACGATTACTTCTATTTTAATAAAAAAATTTTTTTCCTTTTTTAACTAAAAAATACAAACAATTTATTGCAAGTAACAACTCTCTGAATTGATTTAAAAGCCAATTTGTACAATGCCTCTTGTTCTTGAGAATCTATACAAGTTTCCTTTTTTTGGATTGGTAGTAAATGTGTAACAAATGAAGTAAAAACTTCTTCAATATGGTTAATTTGAAATATAGCTAATGTAATTAAAAATTCAACAAAACGATCACGAATCGACAAAGGAACATCAACCCAATGAATTTTCTGTTAAAGAAAAAAGTAAATAAGTAGTTTAAATAAACTTACACAAAATTGTTGAATCAATTCGTGAAATCGTTCATCAAGAACATCATACATATCAGCAAACTTAAAAAATTAAGTTATTTAACATTAAATACTCTATTAAAAACCTGTTGAATAAAATTTATTTTGGAAGATTCTGGCCATTTTTCAAAAGTTTTTAGAGCTTCTTGAAGTCCCAAATATTTGGCAACAGCCTCAGGTTTTAGCTTAAATATGAAAATATATTAAAGATCCCCTAAAAATACTAAATTGACGAGTAATTGATAATCAATTAATGATAATTTAATGATAATCATAATAATTATTAATTTGTTAACCTGTAGATATCCTTGAACTATTTCGCGTCCAGTAATCTTTTGTTCTTCAAATTCTGACTTTATCTTAACATCAAAATCAAAAGACATATCCATTATAAACCAACTGATCTAAACAATTTAAAAATTATTCTACTTACAAGTTAAAAAACAAATGGTATAAGACTCGACTAAAATAATGGATTACTCTCGGCAATAGTTAAAAATTCTTTTTTTTGGAAAAATGCTGTTATAGTATCCCAGTATTGTAATTCTGCCAACTCTTGTTAAAATACAATTAACAGAAAGCACAGCCGATCACCAATCTAAGAGATAACTTAGAAAAGCAATTTGATGGAATAATGCTTATAACATTAGTCAGTAAATTCTGATCAAATATTTCACGAAATAGCAAGTTATAAATATAGAGCGACCTATGGGAGGACCGTTATGGCGCGGATTGCTAAGGCGCAAACATTTCTAACATAAGCGAAAAGTTTTTTCTTACATTTCTAACATAACTTAAAAGTTCCAAGCAAACTGTAAATTGTTCTAACGACCTGAAACGTTCAAATATCCTGAAAAGTTGTTCCAGGAATTAGGCCTTTAATTAGGCGGATTTTTAAAAATGACATATTACTGACGAAAAGGGATTCTGACGAAACTACCGGACACGGCATATAGGTATTTTTATCTTATGATAGTTACATAAAATCGAAAATACTACATTAAATAAAATTCTTTTTATAAATATACATGTTCATAATTATAAATATGTAACATTTAGAATCATCAACAAAACACTAAATCATAAAACTTTTGAAATCCACATAATTAATGTAACTGCAGACAATGAGAACCTGAAATTTTCTATTTTAATTTTAAAATTAAGATTAATTAAAATATTGATAATTTTGAACCTAGTATATTTTCCAATTTTTCCTAGTTTACCCTTTATTCTGTAAAATTTTAAGGTTCACCTTCTATTAACTTATTCAAATCAATTTTACTAATTAATAGGTTGTCGGGGGTCCCAAACAGTATTAAAACTTTAAGGGCTGGTCCAACTAAAAATTCAAACCATTGTAGCATGTAATTAAAATGTTGATTTCTCAGTGCAATGTTTGTTTGGCTTCCAATCGGTTCAAAATTTCCTTCGTTAAATAGAGATTTATCAACGTCTATAAGGATTGGTGATGCATCACAATGATTAGCCATTTGCTTCAAATCTTTGTATACCCATATATTTTTGTTTGGTTGATTATTAAGAAACTGATGAGGCTATAAAAGAGAGAACATTAAAATCGGATAAAACTAACGGAATTTCAGCTTTTATTTATAAATAGAATACATGTCAGCTGTACTCTCAGACAAATTAAGAATTTGCCCGACAATGAGATTAAAATTTACCGCTGACATATACCTAAGATTTCGGCTCATTCCGGCTCAAAATTGACTTTCAATCTTCTCGTTATATACATATAAATGTGATTATTTTTTAATTCACCATTTCTGATCTCCTTACTGTTCCAGTGATATCTTTTTCAATAGGCT